CTCAATATATATGCTGCCACTTGGTAATATTATAAGAAAATATGGAATTAATTTCCACGCTGACGACACTCAATTATATATTTCATCACGACCAGATGAAAACACTAACTCATCTAAATTGACAGAGTGTCTCAAAGATATAAAATACTGGATGATGCGTAATTTCCTGCTATTAAATTCAGATAAAACGGAGGTATTACTTATTGGTCAAAAAAACTACTCACAAAACCTATCACAATACAACTTTAACATAGACGGATGTCCTGTTACTTTATCCACTACAGTAAAAGACCTGGGTGGTATACTAGACTGCAACTTGTCTTTCGAAAATCATATTTCATGTTACAAGAACAGCCTTTTTCCACCTTAGAAACATTGCTAAGCTACGTAGCATGCTATCTGTTTCTGATGCAGAAAAATTAGTTCATGCATTCATGACCTCGAGACTAGATTACTGTAATGCTTTATTAGCCGGTTGTCCTGCATCCTCAATAAACAAGCTACAGTTAGTACAAAATGCAGCTGCTAGAGTTCTTACTAGGTCAAGAAAATATGATCATATATAACACCGATTTTATCATCTCTACACTGGTTACCTATTAAGTTCCGTATCAACTAAAAAGTACTACTACTGACCTATAAAGCCCTAAATGGTTCAGCTCCAATGTACTTAACGGACCTTCTTTCGCCCTACAATCCACAGCGTTCCTTAAGATCACTAAATTCAAGGCTTCTGGTCATTCCTAGGATATCCAAGTCCACTAAAGGAGGGAGGGCGTACTCGCATTTAGCTCCAAAACTCTGGAATAGCCTTCCCGATACAGTCCGAGGCTCTGACTCGCTGACACAGTTTAAAACTAGATTAAAGGCAAGGCAAGGCAAGGCAAGGGAAGTTTATTTATATAGCACATTTCATACACAATGGCAATTCAAAGTGCTTTACATAGAAGAAATTAAAATAATCAAAATAAAATACAGTAAATTAAAACTATTTAGAATAAAATGAAGTGCAGTAACAGTCAGACGAACAGTGGCACAGTGCTCATTCAGTAAATGCACAGCTAAACAGATGTGTTTTGAGTCTTGATTTGAATGTGACTACTGTAGGAGCACACCTGATCACTTCTGGAAGCTGGTTCCAGCTGCGGCTGGCATAATAGCTAAAAGCAGACTCTCCATGCTTAGAGTGAACCCTTGGTATTTCTAGCTGATGTGATCCTAATGATCTGAGTGATCTGTTGGGTTTATATTCAGTGAGCATATCTGCAATATATTGAGGTCCTAACCCATTAAATGATTTATATACCAGTAATAATACTTTAAAATCAATCCTAAATGTAACTGGCAGCCAGTGTAAAGACCTGAGGACTGGTGTGATGTGTTCATATTTTCTGGTCCTGCTCAGAATCCTGGCAGCAGCGTTCTGTATGAGCTGCAACTGTCTTATGGTCTTTTTAGGAAGGCCAGTGAGGAGGCCATTACAGTAATCCACCCTGCTGGTGATGAAAGCATGCACAAGTTTCTCTAAGTCTTGACTGGAAACAAAGCATCTAATTCTTGAAATATTTTTCAGATGATAGTATGCTGATTTAGTTATTGCTTTGACATGACTATTGAAACTAAGGTCTGACTCTAGTGACACACCAAGATTCCTGACTTGATTTTTAGTTGTTAGACCCCTCGCGTCAAGGTATGCATTCACCTTAAGAACTTCATCTTTGTTTCCAAACGCAATAACTTCAGTTTTGTCTTTGTTTAACTGCAGAAAGTTTTGACACATCCAACCGTTTACTTCATCAATGCATTGGCACAGGGAGTTAATGGGGCTGTAGTCGTTAGGCGATAGGGCTAAGTAGAGCTGTGTGTCGTCTGCGTAGCTGTGGTAAGCTATTTGGTTCTTTTTCATTATTTGGCTCATTGGGAGCATATACAGGTTGAATAGGAGTGGCGCAAGAATCGAGCCCTGAGGGACTCCGCAAGTCATGGATGTCCACTCAGACTTCTTTATTTTGTGAGTATGTTCTCCCATACTCACAAAATAACCTCTCCCTTCTAAGTATGACCTGAACCATTTTAGGACTATCCCAGAAAGCCCCACCCAGTTTTCCAGCCTGTCAAGAAGTATGTTGTGATCAACAGTGTCAAATGCAGCACTGAGGTCGAGTAGAACCAACACAGATAATTTGCCTGTATCAGTATTTAAGCGAATGTCGTTTATTATCTTATCTAAAGACGCATCTCTTTAGTCAAGCATTCACATAATGCTTACCTTTTAGTCCTCTGTCATGCCATACGGAACCGTTTGCGACTGAAACGCATTTCCGCGACAATGGGGCTCGACAGCCTTAGTCAAACGGGTCGGCACGTATGGTTGGGTTGCGGAGAGTTCAGGTTGCAGAGAGTTTGTGAGATAGTGGTTTTCTAACACCGACTCCCTTATAATGGAAATCCTTATGAACATCAGCTATGCTAATTATTTTCCATCTGCCTTTCTGCTGTTATCTCGGGATGCTTGTCCCGAGAAAAATGGCGTTCGTCAGGTCCAGTTTTGTATCCAGCCTCTCACTGGGATTTCGGATGCCCCAACGCCTGTGATGAGAAGACCAACGCCTGTGAAGAGACGACTCAACGCCGGCAATATGCTATGGCACCGTTTTATATATAAACAATATTTATATATAAACAATATGAATGTTAGCCAGAGGAGAACTGGCCCCCGACTGAGCCTGGGTTCTACCAAGGTTTTTTTCTCCATCCAATCTGATGGAGTTTTGGTTCCTTGCCACTGTTGCCTTGCTTTTGGCTCGCTCAGTTGGGGATATTTAATGTTTAACAATATTATTGATCTGTGTTGAACTACTTTCATCTGTATTATGAAAAGCGCTATATAAATAAATGTGACTTGACTTGACTTAATACATAGGTCTAACTAACAAAATTCACACAAAGTATGCATATAAGAGACTTGTCAGGAAAAACAGATAACAGTAAACAATATCTTAACAAGTCCGATGGCAATATTTGCATCTTATTACTGAATGAAACTTACTTTCACTTATGTTACGCAATAAGTAATAAGGAAATGACGCACTCAGGACGGAAATGATATCACTACAGTTTCAAAATAAAAGACTTTAGGCTTGTTTGAGATTAGCAAAATCTGCGCAGAACCGATCACCTGTGATCAGCGCGAGATGCATGCCGGTTAGAAATGTGTCCGAGAACGGTCCGCCTGGCTCTGATGTCATGTCAACGTATGTCAAAAGACTCTCGCGAGCGCAAGGCGCACCTGTCGGATTCTACAGTCGCGCCAGAGCCCGTCTCGGAGAGCCTTGGCACTTCCTATTAGCCCCGTTGTGTATCATCCTGGTTGCAGTTCCATTAGAATTCCACTGGAGGTGATCGCGGGCGAGAGCAGAATGAATGGGAGTCTATGGGGCTAAACGGCTAAAAGTGTCTCTTTCACCTGCTTGTCGTTAAATTAACATAGATTTTATTGTTGATTCCACAAGTTCAATATAGATTATAGGCCAAAAGTCGAATGAATTTTCTGATGTGTCGCCAGTTGACGGGAACTCCGTTTCCACAACGATTACGTATTTCCGGTTTTTGTGAAAAAGGTCTATTCTGTATCTCTGAGCAGTTCTCTGTTTGTGTATTCCGTGTTTCCCTGGGCATTTGACCCTTGCCTGCCTTCTGGACTGTTCACGAACCGGTGCTGCCTGCCTCGACATACGCCTGTTAAGACCACGAGTATTTGGATTGTCCCTTTGTTACTGTTTGGCTGAGTTTATGTCTGCGCATGGACCCAGCCATCTCTGTCCGTACGTTACAATGATCTTTGTTTTGGGAGACAATATCGTGCATAATATTGTGCTTCATGAAACTCTACAGACATTTTACATTCACAAACAGCTGCATTACATGTTGCAAGGTGGTCACATCAGAAAATTCATAATATACTACAATATTACTGTATGTAGTTCAATGTGACTATGGTCTTACGATTTCACAACCATTATATTCCAGTCCCTGTTTAATATCGATGCCATTGTAAAGCATAATGGTTGTGAAATCTTAATAATGTAATAATTAAATATTTTTTTAATTAATTATGACAATAAATTTGGGAAATCTTTATATAAATAATAATAATAATAATACTGTGTTTGTATCATTCTATAAGCCCATAAATTGCCTCTGGCCTGTGTGCTGTTGTTGTTGTTGTCTAGATAAGAAACTTTTTACAGATTAAATACATTCCAGTCAGTTGCATGCAGATTTTTGCATCCAGAATTTATCTTGATGTTTGCAATATAAACAATGATTTGTCTTAATAACAGGGTATCTATACAGCCTAAATATGCATCCAGAGTAACACTTGAGTACACAGAGTAAAAGACTTTAAACATGAATCAATGTTCCATGTGTATTAAAAGTATAATTAATTATATTTTTTTAAAGAATATCAAATTTCTCCTTAATGAATCTTCACTGACCTGTCACAAGTGTGTCCTCTGGAATCTCCTCAATGAGACACTTTTCCTCCTGTTCCCCTAAATCAAAATACATTGCTGGAGCCAAAATGACAAAACTGGCTAGCAGCAGGCCTGTCAGCCTAACATTCACTGCAGTAAAACCATTCATTTTTAAAGTAGGAAAGCTAGAAGTAGACAATCTAGCTGAGGAAACTAGCAAAGCTTTATGTGCACAGCAGGTTTAGTGTGAAATCTGCAGCTGATGTTTGTAGACTAATGTTTACACAAGGTAAAAGTAATGATAAGACCAGTGAGAAACCAAAATATGTTGATAAACAGTCTATTACCTGCCTTGCTTCATTAAGATTAAAAGTTTAATAGATAGTAATTGTTTGAAGACAGTATTTCAAACAATTAAAAGTGTTCAGACACCCAAGTCCACCTAACTACATGTCCAAATACTTGGACAATTTAGTGCAGTAATTGTCATACTTGGAAAAACACAAACATGACAAATTAAGAAGAAATGTGTTTTTATTGTTTTGTATTTACAATTTTATATACAGTTTTGCAATTAATGTACAGATATCATCCACTGATGCAACATATTTTTACTGATTTTGCTCAATTATTGAGCTTGATAATGTCACTGGTGTCTTTCTTCCACCAGAGAGCATTAGACTCAATGAGGACAGTGTGTGAAAATTCAGTCTATAAACTCCTGCTATTAGGGCAAATATTGTTAAGTCTTTTTTGCTGGTGACATCTGCAGTTCCTCATAACTAACTTGGGACTTGTTAACTCACCCACTACATCTTACAGAAAGCAGTCCTTCCCTTTAAAAAGTTTCAAAAAATTTTTTTAAAGCTGTTAACCATTTTAAACCAGGTCCTGACCAGCTCTTTTTATTCACACGCAGTTGTCAGGGATACAGAGCTTCTTTTCCTCTAGAAGTGGACAGACAGCCCCGTTGTTTGCAGGATGCATGTGAATATAGCGAGTTCTGTGTTTTACCCCTTTCTCACCACACTGACCCTTACAAAGACCCCAAGGTGACCAGACAGACACCTCACAGTCCAGAGGGGTATCTGTAGGGAAAAAATGAGACATTAATAATACCGTAACTTTAGAAGAACTTTTGTGGGTGGGGGGGTGGGTGGGTAATAGTTTACATAATATTGAAAATCATAGTTCAATAAAATCAAATCGTAATAAAAGCACCTTCAAAATTCACAGATAAAACTTTAAATTTTGGGTGCACTATTCCTTTTAATAAGGCTAAGCAACCAAAAGACGTGAGAAAACATATCGGTTACCTGTTGTAACCTCGGTTATCTCTAGAAGAACTACTTTTTTTTTTTTTTTTTTTTTTTGTCGAGTTGATCGTGAATTCGTGTGATTAACATTTGGTAAAAACATAAACATTTTATAAAACAAGCAAGCATGAAGGTCCACCTCTAACCTTCAGTGGGGCGTAACGAATGAGATTGTGTGAATATCAGTTCGTCTCCAGTTTGCCAAAAGGTAAAATAGTTACAAACTGCCTTTTGAGTGTGTTGACTGAGCATAAAATAGATTTATCTTAGAATTAAAAAAACAAATATAGATATAATTTCATTTATAGGCAGTCATATTATTTGTGTAAGTTTAAATGGAAAGTTGCCTAAATGCTAAATCAATTTTGTGCTACCTTTAGTATAACTTTACCCCCGAGTGGTTTTTTTTTTTTTTTCAATCTTAACTTAACCTCTGAGGGTTTTTTTTTTTTTTTTTTTTGGGAAAAAAAAAAAATCTTGATCTTGATTGTATTTGGAAAACAAAATAAAAATCTTTCAATTTTGTAGAAATAATTGTTTGACTAAACCGAGATCTCCAGATTCAATGATGCTTTCCAGAAATCCTGACCTTGTCAAAGGTTGATATGTATCACAGACTTGGACTTTTGTATAAGTAGGAAAACAGAAGGATGGAAAAAAGCACACATTTCACTTCCATGACAAACACGACTTCCTGACTGCCGAGTGGCAGAAAACTTTTAAAATGGTTGGCCTCCATTATCTTGTTTGCCGTTTGTTGTGTTGGTTACCATGGGGATGGATAAACCTTTCTACAGCCCATGATTCAATAACCACAAGCTCTCTCTACAGATTTGTAGTGTTTCCTCGAAAATGGAATACATGCATATAAGACTCAAACAAAAGTACTGAATATTAACTCTGCTTTTTGCATAAATAAGTCCTGTATGAGAAGGCATTCAGAGCATAGAACACATTCTATTATTATTATAAACAATTGCCAATGCTTACTTATGAGAGATCTGTCTATTTCATTTCCACTTGGAATCAGATTGGACTGAGTTGGCTGAATGGGTAAGCTGAAGATCTGGTTGTTCTTGATCTTTGTTAGGGATACTTTTGCTATTGGGGGAAGATTCTTCAGTCTGGGATAGTAGAAGGAGTTTGCAGGGTGGCTTGGAAATGATGAGGTTATCTGTTGATGAGAAGACACATCTGTAACCAGATCCATAACAAGACTTGCATACCTGCTGAATAAAGGTGGTTATAGGTGGTCAAGCCAGGCGGCCTGGTTTGCTAGTTTTAGAGAGGATTTGGTCATTGGAAGACCAACTTTTTTTTCAAGCAGTTTACCCTGCTGCAAAAAACATATCTAAAACCAGCCTAAACTATTTTGCTGTTCTCAGCTTGTCTCCAAGCCTGGTCAGGTAGGTCTGCTGACCATGCTCTGCAGAGATTTTGGAAACTTTTCAGTTGGCTAGGTTGGAAAAGAAGCCAAAACCAAACAAGACCATCAAATCATGCTGTTTTTTTGTTTTTTTTTTTTTTTTTTTTTCATGGAAAACATAAAATTATTCTAAGGTTATCTTCTTTTAGACATTACCTGAGTGACCTTGTCTTGAGGAATGGTCTCAAAGTTTGGTGAGGAAAAAGTAAAACCACTGTCTGTGCCGGCATCGTGGGGGTAAAGATCTAGGCTTATGTTTCCTTTCCAGTGATCACCCTCACACAAGTTCAGACTGTCTATTCCAACAAACCAGTCAGGACTTGGCACAATGTGAACAATGAAGGACAGCTGCAAAACAAGAAGACCATTAGTGTTCGGTTGCTCTGTGTTTTAGCTTGCTCATCAGCCTGTATGCACTGCCACTGGCTTGTTTTCATTTGGAAAGTTTTATTATTTAAAATTCTCTCTATAATATTTTATATGGAATGCCTGGGAGGCCAATGAAGTGCATGTAGAGAGCTAATTCCAAAAGAATGCTTTGAAAACAGTATGAAAGTGTCCATATTTTCGGACTGAAAAAACCCCCCAGCTATAACAACTGCTTAAAACAGCCTATGGTGGTTTAATGATCCTAAGTGGTCTAACCTGGTATAGTCTGTCTTGCATAAAACTGCATATTGCAATGCACAGTGTACTTACTAAAGAATGTCTTGCATAGACCTCAAATTCTGTAGTTGCCTGGCCGGTTCCTCCAAGTACACCTGGTGCTGAGAAGAGGCCATAGACGCTCTGGATCCGTTCCCCAGCTGCCTCCACTTCCTTTATCAGGGTCCAAGCCTCTCCTTTCTCAGAGAACTCTCTCACCCCATTACTGACAAACTCGTTCTTTTGCCATATGTGATAGTCTGAGCTGTGAGTTACTCCTAGAATGAAAATTACACTGATACAATTTTGATGTTGTTTGATGTCAACTTTAATAGACTCTTTTTTTTTTTGTAAAATACTTGCAGGCAAATTTTAGGTGTTATACATATTGTGCAATCCAGATTGTTTTTAACATCCATATTGCAGAGTAACCAGTAACATGTTGATGGTCCCTTTTGAACATTCTGTTGACTATAAGTAAATTTGCAAGTCATGTCAACTAACTCGCATTAGAGTATTAGTATAGATACTGTCTGCTTAATATCTGCTAACTAACTACATGTCAACTTATTCTAACCCTAATCCTACCAGTCTACTAATACTGTACTCTGCTATCACTCTAATGAGTTAGTAGACATGTAGGTGTAACATTACTTATGGTCAACAGAATGTTTTAAAAGGACCATCAAAATAAAGTAAACCAAGTAACCAAATGTTATTTATTTTCAAAATTCTAGAATTGAAAAATTCTATAGTTTTTTATACTTTGTTATACTTTACATAAATCTATAAAAAAAGATAAATAATTGTAGTATTTAATAATATACTAATGCAAAAAAGTTAATAACCCAAAAAGTGGGGCAACAAACGTAGAAATTTTGAAAGCAATAATCTTTACTTAACAACTCTCTTCTTACATATGAGAACAGCCCACTCACCAATGATTGGGGACCACTGAGCAGGCGGCCTGTACAGAGGGTAGTGTTTGGGGAAGGCAGTCTGAGTCCACTGGCCGGTAAACGTCAATCTGTACTTGGCTGTAGATGGTGCAGTGCATTCGTGGGCCACATCGACCAGTATTCCAGGGACTCCACTCAGCAGGGCCAGAGTCATGGTAAGCCACTGCAGCCAGCAGTTTGTTTTCAGAGATGTCATGTCCCTGCTGGGGTCTCTGAAGGAACAATGACCTATTTTATAATGCGAAAGATGTGGATACATATCACAACCCGGTTTAAACGTTTTGAACCACTCCTTCCATGATAAACTAAGTGACAAACAAGGGAATTAAGCAATTTACATTAGCTGCTTCTGTGAGTGATTTTATATAACTGTGTCATACACTGACTAAGAAGGAAAGAATGTAGGTCAGGATAACTGTTTCCAGGCACTTTTACATTGCAATTTCAGAAAAAGCAGGATTGGCAATGAAATTGCATAATTTGTTGAAATTGGTTAAGTTATTCTCAATACAATATTGTATGAAAATATATTTTTTTAATTACCTCGTTAAAATAAATTATAATTTAATTGTTACAATTTATATTATTATTATTACACAAATTATCCAATTCCCTGCACCATTTAGACATTACCACATTTAAAAGAATCCATTAAGAGTTTGTAAATAGTAATGTGTATTTGTCATATTAAATAATACCTTTAAAGTCATATGCACTGAAAAAGATTTAAATTTATCGTAATTAAGCAAAAGCAAATTAACATCATGCAGCATGAATAAAACACAAGTTAAATAAATACCTTACAGGGTTTGCAGAGACAGATGAGTTTCCTGCAGAATGGAGGTCACCTGCACCCAGGCATTCAGAGGAAGACTACAAGATGACTGTGTGTCTTCCAGCTATTTATGCGTTTATAGCAGTCCCCACAGTCTAACAATATCAATAACCTCCTGAGCCCTCCCAGGCGTAGTGTCGAGCTCTCCACAATCTACATTACATCTCCATCTGGGACTTCCCCTTTGGTCTCAGCAAACAAATCACTGCTTGAATTAAGATTCATACATTAATTCCTCTCCCAACCAGAGATCCACAGAGAAAGCGGCATTATGAAGCTCCTGAGGGTTTCACAGTCCGAGGAGGAAGTAATGGGGTTATTTGATTGTGGAAAAAGGCTTGGCTGGTGGCTCAGCAGCTTGGAGGCACCCGGCAAGCCGAAAGCTAACCGATCCTGCCTGCAGCCAGTAATTGCTTCCACATGCTCATGTTTTGCCCCTCACCCCTCTCTAATTCTCTCCAGTTTCTTGACATTTAATTTGCTGAGAGCTGTTTTGGTGTGGTTTTTTGCAAACCAGTTTCTTTTCTGAGATCTTGCTTTAAGCGTTTTTTAATATTCCTATGTTGTAAATTGGTCTTTGGCCCAAATGGATTGCAACATCTAATGTGTTTGACATGTGTTTTTTGTCTGTCTCAATCTAGGGTCAGTTTCTGTCAACCATCCCTCATTGTTTATTTGAGTTGCCTAACATGTCACTCCATTTGGTCACAATGGACTAATTGAAATTACAGAGAGTCAGAAAGTGTGTTAAAACGAGCTTGGACTGAATCCACACAAATGTATTCATTTAACAATAACTTGAAGGAAGTAATACATACACTAGAGTCTCTTTAAAGGCCAAAACTTTTGGTCATCATTTGCAAAAACGTAAGTTTTAGGCCTCACTCAGTCCTAATGTCTTTACCAAGTGTAATTGTTCGACAGGTCAATGAATGCAGAAAGATGTGCATAGATAAATTCTACTAATTTATAACCTAAGGTGTTTTATTTTGACGTGAACAAAGATTTCATTTACAGTTGTAAATGATTTACAGTTTCATTTACAGTTTTTAAAGGGTCATTCCACCTCTGGAAAGTTGAATATGTATTTAAAATGGGAAATTTATGTAGAAGAAATGTGAAATTATTTTTGAATTTTGAGATTTCTAGAAGGAGAAAAGCCCAAAAATTATTTTTGGCTTATGTGGATGAAATACAACAACTCCCGGATTGCACTTGCTTCGCTGCCCTAGGAGGGCACGCCTACCGGTAACAGCGCAGTAGGTGAAGAACTAGTCTAGTGAGTCTCCGTGATGAGTCTGCCCGAGAATGTGTTTCGAGATCGCCCAAAATGTCCGGGATTCGGCTTTTGCATTCTACAGTCGCCATTCATCATGTTTACTGTGGCGAGCAGGAAGAGTGAGGGCCGCTTTGAGAACAACACGAGGCCAGTGGGGTGATTACCGATGAGTGACACCTGTAAGATGCACCCGTCTCATATCTCTCACGGAGGAGCGGGAAACCCTAACGGACGGTAACCCCTGAAGTTACTACTCGGCTTTCTCCACAGAACAAGAGCCTGCTAGCTTAGCTTCCAAAAAAGATGGCTGACACTATGTGTAATCCCAATCATCCATAATGCATCTGCGTATTCAGTAGCTTCGTCCATATTTTCAAAAACGTTTCTGCCGGTGAAATCAAACGCACTAGCACTGATCTATGATAGGTCTGTTAGTGCATTAGGTCCAACCCCCTATGGGCGGGTTTGAAAGGGTGACCCCCCCCCCCCTTACACTTCCTCCTACAATGACGTAAAATGATGATTTTTGCGTCATTGTAGGAGGAAGTGAAAAGGGTAAATAGCAGATTTCTCTCGTCTCAGGGGAAAATGAGAGAGTGTTGCACGACCATTCAATAGTATAACTGTGTTTCTAACAATGGAAAGCTTAAAGGAGTAGTTCACTTTAAAAAAAAAACTTTTGCTGATAATTTACTCACCCCCATGTCATCCAAGATGTCCTCGTCTTTCTTTCTTCAGTTGAAAGAAATTAAGGTTTTTGATGAAAACATTCCAGGATTTTCTCCATATAATGAACTTCATTGGGAACCAAACGGTTCAAGGTCCAAATGAGAGCTTCAGTGCCGCTTCAAAGGACTTTAAACGACACCAGACAATGAATAAGGGTCTTATCTAGGACCATTCGAGTCATGAGATTTTTTCATTTTGATGAATGAGTATGAACAGGAGAGACGAGACTTCGATAGATTTCCACGACGCATGCGCGTCGTGGAAATCTATTGAAGTCTCGTTTCAGGCCAACAAGAAAGAAAAGGAATAGTCGAATAAAGTCGTTATTTTTGTTTGTTTGTCACATGGAATATTTAAACATTTTCTTCATTGACTTTCTGGGCCGTCAAGAGCCAGTCCCTTAGCTGCCTAAGTGGGTAGTGATGTGGTACCACCTATGTGGTAGTGATACAGCTCTCAAATTTAATCAAAAATATCTTCATTTGTGTTCCAAAGATGAACGAAGGTCTTACGGGGTTGGTACAGCATGGAGTTGAGTAATTAATGACTTAATTTTCATTTTTGTGTGAACTAACCCTTTAATACCATCGACCACAACATTCTTTTAAATAGACTTGAAAATTATGTTGGCATTAGTGGAATGCCATTGCGATCTCAAAATTCCGGCCAGTTGACCTAGAATATCAAAATTGACTGCTGGGAGTAGATCCTTTTCCTATTTAGCACCAAAGCTCTGAAACAGTCTTCCTGACATTGTCCGGGAAGCAGACACACTCTTTCAGTTCAATTCAGACTAAAAACAGATCTCTTTGACCTAGCATACACATAACACATTATAGACTTCAATGTTAGGCTGCATAGATTAGGTCAGCTGGAACTGGGAACACTCCCCGTAAATCCTAAAGTGTAGTTGCAAAATCATAAGAAGAATGGCGTCTAAGCTAATGTCTCTGCGTTTAACCCAAGGTTTACTGCAGTCCACCGGATCCAGGCCATATCCAGATCTGATGCTGGACACAAGGACAATGCAGTCCTGAAGTGTCAGCTAGTCTCTCCCCTGTGAAGGCCCCCTTCTCCTTCCCTTTACCTCTGTACAGATGAAACGCTGTCATAATATTTCCAGTTCACATGGCTACTCGGAAGTTAAAATAAGACACAAATAAGATAATTCTGGAAATGAGCGGGCCGGAGCGTGTTAAGGGTTTTCTGTTACAACGGTGTAGTGTAAGCGGACCCTAAGTTAATAACTTATGATCTTTGCAACGGAAGTGAATCAATCAAAACTAACTTTAGCTGGATAATAACATTATTCTAGAGCTAATGTAAAGCCAAAACTACGGTGGCCGAGAGAGTTCAACGTGTTGCAACCTAAAGAAGACGCATGCAAATACAAAAAAAAACGTGTGCAATTATAAAAACGCATGCAAATACAAAAAAACATCCGCAAATTAAGAAAAACATCTTCATCAGTTCCACAACACACGTGTGCTCCAAGAACTCACAACACAACCAAATACACAAAACGCGCTGCAAAACCTCACAACACAACCAAATACAGAAACGCTGCAAGTAACACAGAGCACAACGGAAATATTTCCGGGGAACCAAATAAGTGACGGACCCAACTGGGACTTGCTTATTGCTCGTAAGCTTCCCTATGCCCCACTCCCTTCAAAGGGCAGACGGCAAAGCTCTTCAAGTGGGAATTTGGCGTGAGCATGACACTAGTGTGTCATTTATGTAGCCGTTTGGAACTTGGAGGGAGCAACAACAGACAACGTAATGTAATTATTTTTACCTAGGATGTTCCTATGACAACGCAGCACTTTGTCCATCAGCTGTATAACTGTTCTGGCGACAGAAATATAATGATTAACATAACGGTTGCAAATAAATTATTTATTTTTACTTTTTAAAAATCTGTTAAAATATCCGTTTTATATATCTGTACGTCAGTGCCATACATTACCTAACATTTTTAGGAAACTTTGCTAATGAAAATTTAAACATAAAATGAAACTATTTGTATAGTGTAACTGATGTATAGATTAATATCTTGCCTTCATGTTTGTCACAGAACAGAATGGCACAGACGGGTGAGTATGAACAAGGTTTATTGAATAACAGTCACTGAATGGTAAGTAGCGTGGTAGCAGAAGTTGGAGAGGGCTATAAACAGTCTGATGATGTTTTCCTTATCTGAACAGGAGCGGGAGATTGGAGAGCTGACCGGAACAGCGGAGCTGGAGACTGGAGAGGACTGGCAGCAGACGGGGACCAAGGACAGGAACAGACTGACGGGCTGGAGATACGATGCGGGTAAGTAGAATCAGGATCAGGCGATAGCGATAGGGAGTCTGTGATCGTGGTAAAGACGAGACCAGACAGTGAGTGACTGAATGAGGTGAGTATATATGGAGTGGATGATAGTCCGGATAAGTGATGGCAGGTGGTGACGACAGGTGGTGATGATTAGTAGTCAGGGGAACCGGAACGAGTAGGCGGAGTGAAGGTATCTGGTGCTGACGCAGATGGATCCGTGACAATGTTCTTCTAGATCTTTTTTTTATTTTTTTTAGTTTAGTTTTCAGATCATTGTTCTTTTCTCATTTGTATTGTGATGACATTGAACATATTGTTAACACATGTTGTATATTGTACACAAGTTGTATGTCATAATAATGGGCTCTATGCACGGCGGTATTTCCGGTGAAGCATTAGGGATGCTCGATAACTTAATAATAATAATAATAATAATAATATATTTTATTTGTAAAGCACTTTTCATAGTTAAAACAATCCCAAAGTGCTACAGAGTATAAACAAAGATAAAAACCAGAAAGAAAAATTAAAAAAAATTAAAAAATTAGCAAGAGGTAAAAAATGCTTGCTTAAAAAGCAGGGTTTTTAGTCCTTTCTTAAAAGAGTCTATGGCTTGAGTAGCCCTTAGGTTTTCTGGAAGGGAATTCCAAAGACGCGGTGCAGCTGAGCAGAAGGCTCGATCCCCCATAGTACGGAGCTTAGTTCTCGGTGGTTGAAGAAGGACCTTGTTTCCAGAGCGGAGATTACGTGAAGAGTTTTGCTTTGTGAGTAGTTCCTTTAAGTAGGGGGGAGCGTTGCCGTGGATGCATTGATGGGTAAGTAGGATGATTTTATAGTTAATCCTGTATGAGACAGGAAGCCAGTGAAGAGAGTGAAGGATGGGAGTGATATGTTCAAATTTTCTTTTCCTCATTAAGATCCTTGCAGCACTGTTCTGAATGTATTGTAATTTTTGAATGCTTTTGCCAGGAATCCCAAAGAGAAGAGAGTTGCAGTAGTCCAGCCTCGATGATACAAAAGCATGGAAAAGTTTTTCAGCATCTGA